AGAGAGAGAGAGAGAGAGAGAGAGAGAGAGAGAGAGAGAGAGAGAGAGAGAGAGAGAGAGAGAGAGAGAGAGAGAGAGAGAGAGAGAGAGAGCCGGACGGCATGGGGGCAGAGGCGCAAGGTCAACAAGACGATGGAAGGATAAATCGATGGGAGGAAACCAGCACCAGAGCAACGTAGTCCAGGGTACATGTCACATTCCAGCCATCGTCGTAGACACAGCACCTCCTCCCGCGCATGTACTCCTCAAGGCAGATGGCAGAGCAGTCCTGAGGATGGGCAGGAAAGGAAGCACTGCAGGTAAAATTAAATCCTCGAGGAGGAAGGAAATCGAGATGCTAAGCAACTTGAAGATGGCCTTCAATCGGTGAGATAGCCCTGAGGATGGGCAGGATAGCAAGAAGCACTGCAGGTCAAATTAAATCCGATCAACTGTCACATCGTGAAAGGACTCCCTTTTGTAAGAAATGTGAAAAGTTGAAAACTGTTAATAATGATTGAAGAGCAACACTACAAGGGCGACCACCCCACTACACCCACCCCAGGGGCAAGGTCCCACTTAACAGGATGCTGGGTTCTGGATGATAGATGACGAACTCCGGCAGCCGGAGACGGAGAAAAATCCAGGTAAGTGAGACCTGGCGCCAAGGTCCGGGATGCGCTCATAGGTGAAGCTCACCTACCGTACACGAAGGACAGAAGGAAGAGACGACTCATCCACAGGCCGGGAGCACAACTGCTTGTCATCGATATAAGTAACTTCGGATTTGTACTCGCCTCTTTTTCGCTTTTCGTTTCTTCCCGGTTTCGTCTATGTCTTCCCAACATTAGCGGTGGATGGCAAACCTGGGTGACTTCCTCCACATAGTATCAGCCTATCAGGAGGTACAATCGAAAAGGTTGTTTTCTAAAAAATAAAGCAAGAAAAAAAAAAAAAAAAAAAAACAGGGCAACCTTAAAATTTCAAAAGGTTTGTGCCCCTTGACAGTGTGTAATAAAGATGTCAAAAGAAGGCAAAGAAAAACGGGAAAGCGCTACAGCGTTCGGGTCAGTTACGATGATCACGAACCTGGACATCACTGTGCGGTCTGCATCTGCATCGCTTATCAACTTAACGGGGCAATCAGTAACTTACCAGGGGTGGTCAAACCTGATTGACGTAGCGACGAAGTCCATGGACGCGGTAGCCGAAGCGAGCACTATATTCGGAGCCCTCGTCGTCACCCTGCCTTGGGAGGAACAGCCACACCATCACCTCCTCAATGATCATCGACCAGCCGCAGCAGCACCATCACAACCAGCGGCTGGAACAAGGCAACCGCATTGGCATTGACATTGTGCCATCATTAATCTGCAAAAGAAGCATCACAATCCTACAATCGTGTGAATGACAGCGCCGACATCCTACCTTACCGTCCGCAATGGCTTTGTTAAGGGACGCCACGCTGGACCCGTTTTCCAGCAGGTGTTGCTCCCCACCAATAGATGGAGCCTCCCCGGGGGAGAATCGGGAGATAGAGGCGTCTGCTCATACCAGCAGCGCCCCTAGCTCCCAAACGGGCAGTTGAAAAAAAAAAAAAAAAAAAAAAAACTTACCGTCCGCATTACCAAGGAGTAACCCTGGGGTAATAATAGTAATAAGGAGCAGCAGTGGCCGAAGCCGTAGCGGCTGTACACTTTTTTCGAAAGAAGAGCAGCAGCAGCAGCAGGCAATAGAACATCATCCCCTTATCAGGGACAGAAAAGAATGCGACTGCCAGCAGTTTTTGGTTTTGGTTTTCTGTGTGTTCTTTCGGCCATGAGCGGTCTTTATGCTTAGTATTGCTTACGAAGCTGAAACGGGAGTTTTCAAAACAACTATCGACAGGGGATATGATCAGAAGCAGGTGCTGGTGAGTCTGCTGGTCCCCAGGCGAGCACTTTCTATACTAAAAAAAGAAGCGCTCACTGCATCAAATTTATGCTCTTGTGAAAAAAGAAAAAAAAAAATCAAGAAAAAAGTGATCTTGTGATTACGTCCCATCCTTAACGACTCTCTTTCACGTTTGACATGGCATTTCGGGCCCTTCCGATGCTGCCGCTGCAGGATCTGCTGCTCTGTGTTTCGCTATGACTGATTTATTGATTGGTTGATTGGGGTTCGTTGACTGATCGGTTTACTAAGTGATTAATTGATCAATGGGTGGATGGATCCCCTCCTCCCTCCTACACTGCGGAATCATCATCCGAATGCAATCAAAGAGGCTCAACTGGTAAACAAAAAAAAAGAGGCTCCACCGGTCGTTTAGCTGGAGGAGGACGACCAGGAAGGGCTGTGGTTGTGGGCAGTTGAAGGGGGGTTCCCGACCAGTTGGACCAGAAAACCAGTGGAGCAGCATTCCCCACTGGACTGCTTGCAGGACGATGGTAGGAGCAGAGGACGTTTATCCCGCCCTGCGACTGACCGGCTCAGCGCCGGCTGAATCCAGATACGGCCAACTACCTAACCCGGAGAGAACTGCATGATCATATGATTGGCTAAGGACTACGTGCTCATGATGATATGTGTGTAATACTATACAATTTATACATGCATGGACATAATTCTATAATAGTGTTAAAATTCATTCAAATAATGCAATAATCACAGCGAGGTCACCTCATCTCACCTTGCAATCTACATACCCACCCATGGGATTTGCGTACTCCATCTATTCATTCCATCTAATCTATTTATCTATTTATCTATTTATCTATTTATCTATTTATCTATTCATCTATTATCTATTTATCTATTTTATCTATTTATCTATTTTAACTATTTATCTATTTATCTATTATCTATCTATCTATTTATCTATTTATCAATCTATGTATCTATCGATCTATCTATATCTATGTATAGACTCTCTTCTTTGTGCTATGTTTTCTTTACATATATACATAGATCCGTATGCGTTTGAATATATTTAGCAGGTAGCTCAGAGCTTCGACTATTTCGCTAGATTAGGAGGTGGCTCTGCTATGCCGTTGACGCTCTCGCGATAGACCAGATAGGACATGTCTCAAGACTCCACCATCAAATCAAGCTCTCGCTTGCACTGTCAGGTAGTCTTTTTAATAGACCCCCCCAGGCATATTTGCGTTGCCTCTTAACTTCCTAAGCATCTATCTATCTATCTATCTATCTATCTATCTATCTATCTATCTATCTATCTATCTATCTATCTATCTATCCATCCATCCATCTATCTACCTGTCTTTAGATCGAGGAATCAGTACATCTGAATCACATTGATGCCTTTTTCTGTCTCGTCCATCACTCGCTGCCCAGCTCTTCGCATGAGCGGTTGTCTATCTACGGTCCCTGACAAGCTCTCAGTCCCCATAACTTCGTGTTCCATGGCACAAGATGCCATGCAGTGCAGTCTCTACCTACAGGTCGTAAGCATGCCTTTCATACAAATTCCCATTAAATTGTCGTACAAGTCTGGATGGGATGTACAAATGCTCATGGAAATGGTACATCTACCAGCCCGACGATGTATAGATGAATGTACCTATAGTGTATGTATCTATCTAATCTATAGAGATCATCTATCTCTATCTATCTCCCTATCTACCTGCCTATCTTATCTAGCAATCTAATTATCTATGAATCTATGCATCTACATATCTATCTACCTATCTACCTACCTATCTACCTATCTACCTACCTATCTACCTATCTATCTATCTAGATAGATAGATAGATAGATAGATAGATAGATAGATAGATACTCTATCTACTCTCTCTACTCTATCTATCCTACCTATTTATCTTGTTCTGCTCAGCAAAATTTATGTCCCTCCTGCTGTATCGTCACTCAATCTGTTCTACATATTCTATCGATCAGCATGGGATTCGCGGGTGTTTTTCTGCTCCTCCATCTGAGAATAAGCACACCTATCACCAATATTCAACAGAGAGCATTTGCCGATCCACTTATCGGATTGGATCGGGACTCAGGATGATGTGGGCTAGGTCTTCTGTCTCAGCGAGGTTTAGAGCACGGAGGATTTCCACATGGGATCGCAAATTGAAGCTGGAGGCAACGCATTGGCGTACGTGCTCATGCAAGTGACAGAGTTTGATGAGCGTTGCGGCGGCTTTCTTCTGGATGTCTTTGCGAGCTCGTGTTGCCCGAGTGGCATCCTCCCGCTCTTCATTCAGCAGCAGACTGATCGCCACCCTCCCATCATCCTTGTCAGCCATCTCCATCATCATGAACGGTCTTGCCCAGTCCTCTCTACTCCATGTGGATGATGGATGCCACAAGCTATCTTCCTCCTCGATATCTCCTCGATCTGCACCAGCCCCCGCCACACCGCTCTGCCTGATGATGTTCCTGTCGCCTCCTGCCACTGTTGCTTCTGCCCTTCTGCGCCTTTCTGTTCCGGGGATGGAAGCCAGAGACTCTGCGCATTCAACATCGAGAAGCACGAGCACAAGTGAGTCAATCACGATATACAATCGGTCTTGTGCAAGAAGGAAACGATCCCAATCTCGATCGTCAGTGGAAGCCAAGTACAACAAAGAGCTGATGAGGAGGGGCTCATTAAGGTAGTCTTCAAAGGTCTTCGGAGTGTGTGACTGCAGAGTGTAGAGCTTGCGCCACGCCAGCCACAAGTTCACGGACATTCTTGACATCTCCTTCAAATCATCTCTGTGCAATCTTCCTTCATTTAGATCGCGTTTCCACAGATTGAAGCTGTCGTTCAGAAAGCGTTGCATGGGTGTGGCGTTGCTACTCACACACCCAACTACTCGATTACTTGTCCGTTGCCGTTGCTGCTGCTGCTGCTGCTGGAGAACATCATTGGAAGCCACCAAATGAGAATGCATCCTAAGAGCAAAAAGACTGCTACTGCTTCTGTGCCCTTGCTGTTGTTGTTGTTGCTGCTGCTGCGTTGAAAGAAGTGAGGCAGAAATAGCAGTCGTGGTGGAGGCGCCATGTGCTGGCGCAAGATTTGAAGTTCGCAAGAGCCCCCTGTCATGATTGTGGGCGTGGAGGATCTCCAAGGTGGTGAAGTCGAAGAACATGTCGTAATTGGCATCACGGGAAAAGTAATGAGAGAAGTTGGATGAGAACCACAAGATTAGCCTGATGATCTTGCGCCGGGCTATGGCCAGCCTGATCCACATCCTTTGATGCATATCGAGTTCCTTCCTGTACTTCATCTCCCACCTGTGGTGCTCAGCGATGGGGTTCGATCCAAAGCCTGCAGCTGCTGGCCGGTCAGCAGCGAATGCCTGCAGAAGGTGGTGCAGGATCCTGGCGAAGTTCATGTGCACTGTTATCACTTGCAGCTGCTCCATCAAATCGAAGACAGGATTTGACTGCCAGTGGTCGAAGCGAGAGAGAAACAACTGTGGCAGTCGCCGCACTCGAATTATGGCGTCATGCAGCTCGTCTAGCACTCGCAGGTACATGCCTGCCGAAGGGATCGACCTAAAGAAGCCCTCCGATAGGGTAACCATGATGAATGCAAATCTCTCTGCCGTATCTATATCCTGTTGGGAGAGGATCTTTGACTCCTCGTCCACATTCAGACAAAGGAAAACGACCGCCATCCTGACACGCATGGGCACCACTCTGAGCTTCAGCGCGTTGATCTCCCGCTCGTAGCTGTGGCTGTCCAGCACCCTGTTGTTCACATTCATCAGGATGTCAGGCATCGGATCAACGATGCGGGTAAGCATACGCATTCCCTTGAGCTTGCCAAGGAACAGTTCGCAGCAGATATCATCTGCGCAGAGTTCATTCAGCACACTCAGTGCATACACGCGGCACTCGACGGAGTTACTCTCCTTCTCCGAGGCATTCATCAATGCCTTCAGACTCGAGATGCGGAACCCTTCTCGTCGCAACTCGTGCCGGGAGGCCGATGGCCATGTTTGCTCTTGGTCTTCCTCACTCAGGGGATCGCCATAGCCTGCGAACATCTCCTCCGTCATGGCCGAAACAATGGACAGCCACGGCCATGTCTCGGCGTAAGGAGCGCGTCGTCGCGGCGCAGGGGCAAGAGGAGTCCTGGACCTGCTGCGAGGAGGTGCCGGGGGGGGCGAGCTTCTGCTACCACTCGTGCCGACTGCCCCAGCCCCTGCCGCCATGCGAGTGTTTGCTGATCGAACAGACACCCCGCCACCTTGTTGCACCGGGGCCAAAATATTGACGTTGCGCACCGTCGATGAACGGAGAACACCTCCGTCGTGCCCATCAGCTTGCTCCTCCACATCAGGGACAATCTCGACCCCGTTCACACTGCTGTTATCCCTCCTAGTTGTCGCATGCGGAAGAGAGATTGACGACGGTATGCGTGCAAATGACATCACCATTCCAAGGATCCCCCCAACTACCCCTCCTCCTGCTTCTGCATTGGCCATTGCTGTGCCTGGTTCTCCTCCTCCTCCTCCCGTTGCTGCTCTTGCTCCTGCTGTTTCATCCACATTAATGACAACAGATCCTGTTTGCTGCATGGATCTCCCCGCCCCTGCTGTTGCTGCCACCATTGACCCCTCGCCATCGTCTGCGACTGGCGAACGCCTCTCGGAAAACGACAAACGTCGGGTCTGTCGATCAGGAACCATCCGTTCATCCTGTACCGATGGCGCGGCGCTCATCGACGACGACCTTCGTTTGCGGGGGTGAGGATCTCCTATCGCACCTCCGCCGGCCGCCGCAGCAGCAGCATCAGGGTCAAAAATCAACTGCCGACGGCGATGCTTGCGCACTTTGCCAAACAATTGTGTGGTAAGCTCGTACTCCTCCACGGGGGTGGAGCGCATCCATCTGGGGAGGACAGTCAGCACTCTGTGTCTGGGGCGAGACCCGTAGGTGTGCGACACGCTGGAACTTGCCGCAATGACGAGTGACATGAGAGCTCGGGCCGCCACCTCCTTCTCTTCTGCCGAAGACTGACTGGACTGAAGCATATCGACAAGGAAGATGGCCACTGCTCGGAGGTAATAAGCTGTCAGATTGCCCATCTCATCGTCGAGGAAGATCGGATCCATCAGCTGTTGGGAAATCGTACTGTCTTCTGGAACCGCTCTCCATGGTAAGTTTGGCCTCAGTTGTCTTCCGTCTGCAAATCCACCAGACAAACCTCCTCCTCCTCCTCCTCCTCTTCTCCTTCGCTTGGCTGGGATCTTGACCATGGCCCACAAGCTCACCTTTCCTTCTGTGTATGCCTGCCTTGCAAGGCTAATGAAGAAGGAGTCGATGATCGATGCCGCCATGACACGCACTTCTGGATCGTTTCCGGGTTTTGCAGCGAAGAGGATGAGATCGAAGCCATTGTCCGTGAGTATTTCCATTCTCCCACCCTCGTAGGTCGCTGCCCTTTTCAGCCCGTCCATGGACATCCTCAGGTACTTTCTTACTATGCACTCAGACACTTCACTCGCCCCGCCTAAGTCCAGCTCTGCCGCTGCCGACACCCTCGCTGCGCCGAAGAGAATGTTTCTGCCTGATGACCACAACTGCTGCTGCTGCTTTCGCCGCCATATCCTCCACTGATGGATCCGATTCAAACCCCACGCCATCGACAACTTGACGCTGTTGACGCTCATGAACCAATGCGACGGCAGACCGCAGCCATCCGACTCAAAGGCCGTGCAAGTGGACAGCTTCGCATGCCGCTGGTAATGCCACATCCATGCCTTGAGACCCGGATTATGTTCGTCAATGAAATGCATGAAGGCCCTAATCAACGCTCCGCTGAGCTGGCAAATCATGGTGATGGCCCCAACATACAGGGTGTCTCGAAGTTTCCTCCAGTCATTTTCTGCCACTTGTGGTGCATAGATTTCTTCAACGACCGCTGCACGATCATCGTAGTCATCGTACGGACTGACGAGGATGATAGCAATCCCAAGAGAGAATTTGGCAACGTGTTGCAGAATCTGCCATCCGTCTTGGACGAGGAGCATGGGAAAGTGAACCCAGATCCCAACAGTAATGCCCTCACGGGGAGGGTTGGCAAGCCAGAAGCTACAAGGCACGTCTCCCTCGAGTGCCACATTGGCACGGCGCCCTGCACCAACACCCCCACCAATTGCAAAATTTGTGGCGATTATGGACATTAAAGCCTGCATCAGAGCTCCCCAGGCCAGCCAGAAGACAGTCTGCGATTCAGCCGCTACATGGCCATAGGTAGCCAGCAAGACGATGAAGATCATGGCCACCGCCCAGTCCAGGTAATCGCACACATCGAGGACGAGTTTGCGAAACGCACAAAGTAGTTTCCCACCGGCAGAGGGAGGACGGAAGTCAACTCGTGGCCCTATCTCGAATTCCCGCCGAGCGCTCCCTGTAAGCCATGCTGCTCGCTCGCCAAAGTCTGCAAAGTCCAGATCGGAATCAGAGACATGGGACCAGTACCGTCGATGGAGCCATCGACGGGCCCAATCAGCCGGTGCACAGATGAGGGCAAACCTGTACAGTCTGACGCCACACGGCCGAAGAAAGTCAGTTACAGATCCAATCAACCTCCTTCCTCCTCCGGCAAGCCCATCAGGGGCAGGAGCACTTCCCACCATGGCCGCCGCCTGCGGCAGCGGCGGCGGCGCCAGCGGCGGAGGAGGAGGAGATGGGGCCCTCATCGAAATTCTCTCATCTCCTCTCCCTCTGGGCGGCGACAAAGATGGTCCCCGTTGATCGGGAGGTCGCCGCCCTGTGGTCGTTGTTGTTAACGCCGCATCACTTCCTTCCTGCCGCCGCTGTCCAATGGGATTCCAAATCATGACGACAATTGCCCAAGACAACCCAGCATTCCCCCCCCAGACTCTCCTCCTCCTCCTCCAGAACTCTCCTCTGTTGTACCTATTTTTGTTAACCCCTTGTCCCTCCCTGGCACAATTGACAACTACATCATCAGGAGCAAAATCAATCCTTCCATTCACACCACCACCACCATCATCTCTGCTTCCTACAGCACCCCCTCCCCAGGAAGGGGTGTCCTCAACCTCCCAGGATTACCATAGGACAGTATCAACATGGACCACCACCAGCAATTGCTGCCAGATTGCCGTCAAAGCCAGCGTGGATCGAGTCTCACACTGAGACCCGGTACTGGCCCCTGCATTTGCCATCGCTGGGGACATCAGATACATGTACATTCATCCACACGGTATACCACCACCATCCTCATCATCGTCATCATCATCACCATCATTCTCATCATGGCCTCATTATCCTATCCCATTTACATATTATATTATATAATAGAACCCCCCCAAATGAATGCATTGTGGCTGCCACCGATTGATGCACTCCCCCATAATAACCAACGGCAACCTTTCCTTTAATGACCGAGCACTCTCCAGCCAACGGTTCCCCTTCCTGCCAATGGTGCTCACTCGCTGCTGCACCCTGCCGCAGTTGACGATGGATGACTACCGTCTTCCCCCGAACACAACGCACCCTCATTTTGACTGTATCGGGCCGGAAACATGCCTTGCATACGTTCATTTTCAGGGTGCGTTATGTTCGGGGGAAGAAGACGGTAGGATCAGTGCGAAAGCAAGCACCTTTCCCCTTTGTCGCCCTTTTCCTTCTCTCTGCCAAAGGAACAAGATGAGGAGCAGGGTCTCCAAAATTCTGCTCGTGCAAAGTGGCCCATCATGCTCCTCCCTCGGCTTTCTTTCTTCATCCGGCCTACACTGATCTTCCTTCCTTTCTACGAGATCCTCATACACTACACTACCCCTACCTCCACCATCGCACTGCACTTCACCCTCGTCATCTACAGCGTCAAGGGTTCTCTTCTCCCTCTCTCACCTCTCTCTTCCGCTATGACGTACACAACCCATCTTCAAACTCTCTCTTCCATCCTCTCCGTATCGCTATGACTCATCATAACTGGCACCCATCTCCCCCCCTCACTCTCTTCGTTTCCATCTCTCCATCTCTCTATTCTTTCTCACTCACCTCCTTCCACTTCTCCCAAAGCTGAGAGCCGAGCCATCAACCCCTCCCCCAAGTCGTCGCCAACAATGGTGGTGCTGACTCCAGATACGTAGAGCAGTGCCAAAGACACACAGAGAGACCACCTCTCCCAAGTGGCTCCGTTCTCCAAGTGACCACCTTCAGCTAACCAACAGTCCTTTCTGCAAAAGAAGCAGGAGCAGCACCAAAAAAAGCACCACGGACGCTGTAATGTTATTGCAGTAATCCAGCACGATTTGAACTCGTTCTCTGTTTATTCTCTGTTTGTTTTTTCTCTGTTTATTCTCTGTTTGTTTTTTCTCTGTTTTTTCTATGTTTTTTCTCTGTTTTTTCTCTGTTTGTTCTTTGTTTGTTCTCTGTTTGTTCTCTGTTTGTTCTCTGTTTGTTCTCTGGTTATTTACAGTTAGTACATGTGTGTATGATCCAGGGTAACAGGAAACACAGGCTGCAAAAGAACTAAGAGCATACTCACACACAAGGACTTTTTGTACTTCTCTGTGGACGAAACTGCTGTTAGGTCCATTTAGGCCGGGTCAGAAAGGCGGTCATATACATCCAGGAAAGTCCTAGACTGAGTATGCCCTAAGAGCAGCACCAAAAAAGGCATCATGGACTTCTTTTTTTTTTTCATTATATAAACAAGTGGACCCGCCGCAGCTATGCTATGCTGCGGCAGTGGAGGGGGAGTGAAGGTGGAGGTAGGACGGAAGTTGAAAATGTCTGGTGCAAAGGAATGTGTGGAGAAAATGGAAGGCGACAATTAGTATTATCACACAGAGAAGCCGTTTCACACAGGGTCAGAGAGTGAAAATGTCTGGTGGAAAGGAATGTGTGGAGGAAATGTGTGTGTGTGTGTGTGTGTGTGTGCGGCTAAGTGGTACTTCGATCGACAGGATGACCAAAATGGAATGAATCTACCGGTAGAACATGGACATATACAGTGCGAAGATTCATTCGATTTCGGTGATCCTATCCATGGAAGTAGCGCAAGGCCAGTCGCATCGTTGGAGACTAAGTTGTTGGCCCATGCGTTGGTCATCCTGCCGATGGACACACACACACACACACACACACACACACACACACACACACACACACACACACACACACACACACA